CACCAGGAAAGCCCCGACTTGACTGTTTTATAGAGGGCATACATGAAAGAGACCAGCTTCGTTTCTAGTTCCACCTCGGGTGCATGTCTCTTACTGCTTACTTGTGATGAGGATTTAAAATTACAAATTTGCTCTCTATACTATTAAGTGATATGGTTTCAATACAAAACTTACTATCAGGCTAAGCATTTCTACAGATTTGTAGGAATTATCTGTCTAAGCATATGAAGAAAACACACCTGTATCAATAATTTAAACATACTGGAAGATCAAAAATTGTCATCTACAATAGAAGCCACTATATCATCTGTTAAACTGAAATAATTTGTTGTAATTGTGGTATAGAAGTTGAAAACCTATAAGCTGTTTTGTTTTTGTTTTGTTTTGGTAACTTGGAACCAAAAATAGATAAGGCCTATTTTAGGTGGCCCTTAATATTTTATGTTTTTTAATTACAGTTCTTCAGTTATCCTTGATATAATTGATATTCAAATAACAAGTAAACACTATGTAATCCTACAAAGTAGTTTCTTTTTTAAAAAAAAATATTTATGCATACAAGAATTGGGGTACAGGCCAGAGGTGCAGGGCATAACATATACCAGAGACAGAGTGGGGAACAGAACAGGCAGACTGACTAAAATACACTGCTAAGGGGAGTAGCGGGCAAGACAAGAGGTCTGCTGTGCCATGTGGGTAACTCCCTGGCCAGCCAGGAATAGAACTCATGCTGCAGAGGCTGCAGTAGCTTCACAGTGCTGTGCTTAACCCCTTGCACCACCAGGGAGGCCCCCAAAGTAGTTTCTTAAGTCTGAATGGCCAAGCTTAAGTGGTGTCAAAGATACAAAAGGTATAAAATTAAAAATCAACTTTCTTTGAACTCACATTTCACTCTCCACCTTGGTCACTCTGCTATAACCACAGGAAATTTTTCAGAAATCTGAAACCCAGAAGGACTCTTCAGTCTTTGGGTCTCCTCACTGACTATGCCCTAAATGTGAAATCCTCTTCCTTTATTATCCATTTCCTTCAGTATTTGCTCTGGCTTTACCTTCTAATGAGACTATTATTTACTATTCTACTTAAACAGAAAATATCACCATCACCATCCTGATATATCTTTTGCTGATTTTTCCGATAATATTTATCATCATCTAACATAATACCTATTTGCTCATATTTTTGTCTGACTTCTGTAACTAAAACATCACCTCCATTAACCAGCAATTTAATCTATTTTGCTTCCTGATATAATTCAAGTGCTGAATCAGTCTGACATGTACTAAGCATCCATAAAATTGGTTGCCTAAATGAATGACTCAGAAGAACACTATATAATATATAACAAACAGCCTTTGTGAGTAAGGAGTTATTCATATTCAGACTCACAAAATAGCTTGGGGCCACCAGAGACTGTTAAGTCTAAACCTTGTGGAACACCAACATGTGTTATCAAATAGGATGTATAGTCTAAAACAAAATTAACAGAATATACAATTTTTAGTTTGAAAAACATATGAGTTAAATGCAAATATTTTCAATTTTATTGGGATAATGTCTCCAAGAACTGCTAGAAACTCCTCAGTTATGATTTGCAGAACCATGCTGACCTCTATTTGAGATTAGAACTGTCACTTTTATAAGTTAAGTTGTGTCAGTCTATAAACTCTATTTGGAAAATATTGAAAGTACACAGAATAATGTAGGTGGAGGAGTCTTACATAATACCCCAATCTTCTCACTTCTTTTTTTCTATAAATCATAGGTGATATTCTTACAGTTAATAGAATAAATTGAGAAATATGTAAGTAAAATACATTTAAAAAATGTACGGTTTCCTATATTATCACCTAAATATTTTAAGATACTTTTCAAAAAGCTCTCAAAAATAGTCATACTTTTTTTAGCTTCAGTCCAAATCTGCCTCTGAAGTGTTCCTTTTGGATATTTCTAAGACCAAGGTAAAGTTTTTACCACTTGTTTTTTTCAATGACTTGGCAATACATCTTTTCCATATTTTTAAATAAATCGACCTCAAATGTAGACAGTAAACAAAGGATCCGAAGCCTAGACCGCTGCACATATTTCTTTCTCCTTATCACATGTGAATTGATAAAACATACAGAATTTCCAATATTTGGATGGATGAAAATAATACCTCTCTTGGCTTTTCTTTAATCTGCTGACTACACCCACAAAGGCACTTTGGCAGCCCTCTTTATGTTTTCATTTGTTTTTCTTGCAAGGAGTAATAAACATTGTGCCAGGACCGCAAGCCACAGCCTCCAGGGCAAAAGGGCAAAATCAAACATTTAAATACAAAGACTGAAGCAAACTTCTGCTCCAGGGCTGGCTAAAACTAATGAGCGATTTTAAAAAAATAAATGGCATCTTTCCCGTTTTCTTAAATTTATGATTTTGGAAAGGAGAAAATGGATGAGCCATGTATTTTGTACAATGAAATACAAACTTCTAGCACTATAACAATAAATTTATAAGTGCCTCACCTAATCCTCCCACCACTTACCAACCCTTGTGATGACACAGGCATATTACCTCTGGGTTATAAAAACAGAACATATATCTTCTCAAAGCTGTGTGTCCCCAACTTGACTGCTTCATTTAACAGCAACTGGAGCTTGCAATTTGCTGGAAGATAGATTCAGATGCTAATAATACATGAATTAAAACGTCATTCTATGACTCTATAATGTTACTACTTTTATCTCGTGCCCTTTTCACTGAATGGAAGATGTAACTCAGTCAAGAACTGTATGGGGAAAGAATAATCACAAAGGAATTTTTACCATTTCAAAACGCTTAAAGTAGAAATAATATGTTCATTCAGTATCAGGTATAGAAATCACCTTTTGGAGTATCTGCCAGATAATGTTCTTGTTCATACAAGTCTTTATCAGTTCCCACATGGCTGGGTGCCAGGCAATCATATTAATACTACCAGGAATGGATGCTATCCGCCAGCTGGGCCAGATTCTCCTGAGAATATGCCATTGAGACCGAGAAATAAGGAATCAGTCACCATGTGAGTGGGACTACAAAATGTCTGTAGGAATATCTATGAGTGATCAAGAGTCAGTACTGTCTAGTGACTTCTTACCTTTCGTGAAGTCCAGCTGGAATTCCTATGGCACCTCTGAAATTTTATATCAACTACCTCTTCTACATTTTTTTCAACTTGAGCAACTTCTAGCACATTTCATCTTGCTTGGGAAGAAGTAATTCTGAACTATATATAGGATTATGAGAAAGGGCGTAAATGCATTGTGAAATTAGTATTTGCTTCCACAGTTTGTCAAGGTTGTCATGGTGATAATGTTCATTTGATGGGACATGATAATGTGGCTGTGAAACTCAAAGCAGAACAACAAAAAATGGTATTAGCAACAGGTCTAGAAAGTCTGAATTAAGAAATAACTTTCTATCCTAAGTGTGGATTACACAAACCCTCATAAAAAGGGAATGGAATTTCTTTAAAAAAAGAAATAAAGATGCTGCCTAGTGGATCTCTTAGACTAAAGGGGTATCTCTTGGCTCCGTGGCCTTCCTTTGCGCTTCCCTTACAATCCAGCATCGAAATGGCTGAAGATCACAAGGAGAGGAGTTGGAGTGTAATTTTTTCATTCATTCGACAAATATGCATTAAGTGCCAACTATGTATGACCATACAGTGCACTAGTGCTGGGGGTCTTCGGACAATTTTGATCAACATGTTTCTGTTACTGAATGTGGGCCCACAACCTGATGGCCAAATGTCAAAAAACATCACCACCAGCTTTTGAGAAAAGAACCAGTTTAATGCAAGATCACCTGGGAGGAGACTGGAGGTGATCAGTGAAGACAGTGAACATCCTTCTGGGCCTGTGTTCTGTCATCTTATGAAAGATCAGGGCTTATTTATTGCTTAAAATAGCGGGGAGAATTTCTGTCTCATTGTTGCAAGTCCACCCTGGACTTCAGCGTGCAGTAACTGGGGCCCAGAGTTACTTAATTTCCTGGAAAAGGCTCTGGACATGGCAGATAGGGTATCAGTCTAATTTAACTCCTACTTTTGGAGGTACATACTTCCATATACCCATGGAGGGTGAATAATTCCAGAGATAAGAATATCACCTTTCCTCCTGCATTATGAAAAATCAGTTCTCCCCAAAGCTGCCCCTGACAGTAGTTTAATCACTTGGATATTTCAAAACCCATGATTCATGAGCTACGATCATATGAGACTATGTGAACCCATGGACTGGAGGACAGGTGGTTCCCACTGTCACTTAACATGTAAAGGTTAAAAGTAGTGAATAAAAAAATTGGGTATGAATATCTTAGAACAGTAGGTATCTGTATATTTATGTATGGCCATTTTGGGAAATTAGTTTACTTCCAGGTTTCCTTGCACATATGCATGAATATACAATGTGGGACTTTTCAGATGCCTAGTATGAATCCTCTTTAAATGGTGATCTGGTATAAAGACAACCAAATTTAAAAAACATCAGATTGTAACAAAATATGGTGGAATGCAGAGTGAGAATTTCTTTCATGTATTAGACACACTGTATTTAGATTCTTTTCTTTCTTGCTCATAATCTCATAAATTTCTACATCATCTTATGTACTAATACATTCTCATTTTAAATTTGAAATTAAGGTTCTCTTTAATGGATCAATTACCTTGCATTTTCTGTTACTAAAACAAGAACTGTCAAAGTATTTCATTTGTCCTGATTTTTCCTGACTCAATAATAATGCAATACAATATAGTACATACCAGAGCATTTTCTAATTATATCCAATGAATGTGGAACTAATTACCTACAACTATTCAGACTGCAGCTTATTTGCTATTGAAATACTGGCTGCAGACTTCTATTTGCCGATTCCTTTCTTCTTAATCCAATATTATAACTTACTAAATTTTTTCCTTACTAAAAACATTCAAATAAATTTAGTACAAATTATCAAATTAATGTAAGTATGAACAGGTTTATCAGTCTAATGTCTAAGAAAAAGCAACAGGGCTTTAAGATGATCCAGTATACTAAGTATTTACTTGAAAGAGGTACAAGACAAAAGAGTATCATTATTTACCGCTGCCAAGGCAGAGGTTTAAAAGAAAAAAGTTTACAAGCAAATATTTGAACATCTTTACTTTTAATAAGGAGAACAGTATTTACTGATTTGAACCTCTAGTGAACTTTCTATGAATTACCCAGAAGAAATGCCAAATCATTATCATGTGCATATTTAGCCCTTGTTTTTCAATTTTGTTCTCACTTTACAGTATATTAAAACTATTTTTAAAAGTTATTTGGATGTTTCTAAAAGATATTATTTTCAAATACTTAAAGAATAATTTTAAAAACTGACCATGTACTGGGCCACAAAGAAAATCTCAATTTCCAAAAGAAGAAATCAGAGACTACCTTAGAAGATGACAATGCATGAAACAGCTAGAAACTAACAATAGCAATAAATATCATCATCTTTAACCACCTTTCAAAAGTTTCAACAATATCCTTCTAAATAAATTTTGGATCAAAGAATAATTGAGAGATATCTAAACGAGATACAATGAGAATACTATATACAAAAACTGACAGGATCCACACAAAACTGAAATCAGAAAATTTTAGGGTCACTTTCATTACTATATGAGATTTGAAAAAAGTATACCCTTTAATAAAGAGCAGAGTAGGAATTAATGAATAAAAATTCATAAACCTGGTTAAAACCAGTGGTGACTTGAGGCCAATGAAAGACAAAACTTCAGCATTTATGGTCATATAGGTTAGTGGAGGAATTCAATTATTTTCTTATACATCAGTAATAACTAGTTATGAAATGTGATATTTAAAAAAATCTAACAAAAGCAAGAAATGCTAAAATTTCTGGAAATAAACTAATGATATATAAAAGGCCTAATGCTACTGAAATAATGAAGACTTGAATAAATGAAGACTTTACATGTTTATTGACTAAGAAATCTAAGTATTTATAGAAGTCAATCATCTCAATCTCTCAATTTCAACAAAATCCAAAAAGTTTTAACAAGACATGAACCAATATAATTTTTAAATGGTTCATTAAAGGTTATTTTGACCAGACATCAAAATGTATCATAAAAACATTGTATATTAGCTTTCTATGGCAATTTAACAAATTACCACAACCTTCAAACATCCACTCAGTAGTTTGTAATTCTACTGGTCAGCAGGCTGGGAAGGTGTGGGTGGATTCTCTTTGAGATTTTACAAAATTGAAACTAAGGTGTCAGCTGACTGAATTCTCATCTGGAGGACCTGGGGTAAATCTGCTTCAGCAATCACTGGGAAAATGCACACAAACTGATTGTGGACATAGGGTTGTGGTGCATTTTCCTCTGGGCTCGTGACCAGGGGTAGTTCTAGGCCACTCACCTTGCCACCTTCCTGTCTTCAGTAAGGGATACATCAAAACCTCATATTTCAAATCTCTTTTACTGCCATAACCTGGAGAAAATTCATTTAAAGGGATATGTTTTAAAATTAGGACACCCAGAACATCTCTTAAGTCAATTGCATCATGTAATATATAATAATGTATAATATAGTATATAATAGATCGTGGAGGTAAAATTCATCTTCTTCATTTATGAGGATTAGAGTGGGAAATCCGGCCCTTTCAGAATTCTGCCTACCACACTAGGGTAATAACCAGTGTGATCCTGTAGCAGAGTGTGTAAGTAATCAGAAGAGAAACAGTATTATTTGTAGTATGTGGAATGTACTATGTAGAAGACAGGTCCTCAACTCTAGAGAAAATATGAATAGTTTGGGGATATATGAACATCAAACTATATACCAATTCCAGATGGACTAAAATTTTAAATGTAAAGTGATGAAAGTACTGGAAGAAAACAAATTATAATCTTGGGGTGGGAAGTGCTTCTACAAAAGCACTGAGAAGCTCATGAGATCATTGATTACATAAAAGTAAACATTTGTAATAGCTGTTCATATGTAAGAAAAAATATTTTTTCATACAGCAATTCCACTTCTAACACTTTATGCCAAATAAGGATGTATAGTCATATATACTCAATGTTTACTAAAAAAGGGAAAACATAAACACCCTAAATATTCATCATTAGGAAATGAAACAATTTATACATTAAAATTCTTATAGGCATGAAAGAGTAAGATTACCTTTAATATTCATATGGGAAATAATCTATATCAAATGAAAGTAAGTCTAAAGAGTATGAATAGCTTAATATTATTTAATTTTGTAATATTTTAAAATCCATTTAAAAACCAGTCTAAAACTATACACAGAATTGACAATAGTAGTTATCTCTGGGAAGTACCACCGTCATGTTAAGGGGGTGTGGGTTAACTAGAGGAATAGGGAGTTAGATCAATGACGATGAGGATTCGGAGGTACTTTCGTTATTTGACCTTTAAAAAAAAAATAAATACGATTTTGTACCATGTCTTCATTTTGGAAGAAAAAAATGTCCAATATGGCTTACTAAATTTTTGCCTAAGTTTTTGTTCATGTTGTGAATGTATGAAGCAAGTCAGAGACTCAATTTGACCACTAGGAGTTTTCCATTTAAGTTATTATCACTAACACACTGATGGAACAAAAATACTTGAAAAGTCTCATGCACAGGGAAAGCTCTTAGTGCATTTATTGACATGATATGTAAAAAGATTAGGACTATGGCATCAGAAGCAGAGTGATACTATTTGAAACTATGCTTTTCATTTCATTATCAATTAAATATGCCTGTTGATAATTTCACTGCTAAACATTCTAGATACAGTGAGGGCACAACCCTGATCCTCAGGAAACTTATTATTTGGACAAGACAAATCTGATCAAGAGACAAGTTTTATAAACAGATAAACTGCTTGAAACCATAACACAGTGCGCTACAACTAAAAAAACACCCAATACAATGATGATGATTATAAAGCATGTACTTTTAGCCCACTTTAGTCTGGAAAAACTTTCTATAGACGGTAGTATCTCAGGTTTGCTTTATTTGATATTTCTCAGGCCTCTGGTAACTTCTCCACCTAGAATCCCACACCTCCTTGGGTCACAATGTGCGTATTCAGCAAATGTCTTGAAGAATACATGGAGGTAAAAAGTTACTATATTCTGGACAAGGCAAATGACCAGCTCTGCCTTTTCAGAGGCACTCAAATTGTAAGTATGAACAAATTTATGCTGCTTTTTTCTTCACGGTACAAAGCATTTTAAAATACAACATGACCAACAGAGCACTAAAAGAAGCAAAATACAAATAATGTGGGGATATAGCTATTTTACTAATCCACAAGTATCTTTCCATTAATAGCATAAATATACCATTCTTGTTATTTATAAAAGGGGAATTTAGAAGTTTCACTAAAAATTAATTTTTATATTCACACGATTCTGTATTCAAATTTTATTTATTAAATATTCTGGCATGCCTCTTTATTAAGCCCTGAAACTATAATAGTTTGTGAATTTCATATACAATATTTATCTTTTAGTACAAAAATAAAATGCTGAATTTTAATGTTTTATTTAACCCACTAGGCCAAAAATATCATTTCACCAATATACAAAATTGAAATATTTTATATTCTTTTGGTACATCTTCAAAATCCAGTATGTATTTTATACTGACAGTCCATCTCAATTTGGACTAGTCACATTTCAAGGGATGACCCCCACATGAAACTAAAGTATATGGAAGACTGGCCTGCACCCTCCCAATGTCTGGCATACCTCTCTATAGACAAAAGTCAAAGTCTGTAACACTCCAAACTATAGTCTGTCATTATAATGTGAAACTGTACTATGTCTGATACTAGATAAATGGGCAAGAAAAATGGTTGGCATGGGGGCTTAATTCAACCCTGCACTCATTTAGAGATATGAATACAACGAACACTGAGTACAATTTTCTTTTCATTTGTAGCATCACTGACTTTCTATATTTTCTTGTCTATGTTGTGTGTGACTCAATCTGGTTGTCCTATGACATTCCATGAGGGAAGTAACTATATCTACCTTGTTTGTATTCTATCCCTGGACCTTCATTGAATGTATTTGCCTGGCAGATTATCAAATACATATTCAATGAATGGATATAGCCATGAACCAACTTATCATTTCATTGTTTTCCAGTTAGTTAAGATACATTCCTTATTTCCTCAATTTGAAAGCAGTGAGCGGTTATTTCTAGTATCCTAACCCAATTATTAAAAATGGTGAAATTCCTCACTATTCAGAATCACATTTACCTTGTCTTTATCAGTCTCCTCGTCACACACACAATAAAGGCAGAATAACTGAGACACAAATGAACAAGTATAAGAGAAAAAGACCTATCAATTTCTTTAGATTTAAAGAAAAAAACAATACACTGCACTACTAGTCAGCAGTGGCGTGTTTCTTAAGAAATCTGGAGACTTCAGTAGAGTACTACTGTAGTAGAGATGAGAAACGAAAACCTAAAACTGGTAAATGTCTTGCTTGAAAAATAAACCGAAATAAAGTGTCATGCAATATCATGACTAATGGTGGGGGGGAAAAACTAATAAAAACCAAAAACCCAACTTCAACTCATTAATATGAATAACAAAGCTCTTTTGCTAGTTTTGAGGCTGTACAAATAATTTGATTCAGAATGCAAAAACTGGGAGAACACAAGAGCAGAGAGCTTTTAGCTTTTTATCCTGTAAATAATGGTCCTTTAATGATACTGGTATTGCCAAATTATCACTTTTATAATTTTAACATTTTAAAAAAAAGCCTCAACTCCCAAATGAATGCTAGTTCTTTTGCAAATTACCCGAATACAAACGTGTCATATCTCTGAAAATATCTGTCTATCTTCTGTTTGTGAATTAATTTTTTAAAAACTGAATTGGATTTAAAAATCACCAAAGAAAATTACTTTTCCCTTTTCTTTTTAGATGAATGTTCCAAAAGTGGTGTAAATTCAGCCTCCTCAGTGTGTTTCCTTTTCTTTTTTTTCTTTTTATGGTCACTCTGATAACCACTAGAGTCACTGCCTTGGAAAACAGGATCCTGATCCTGATCTTCTTGATGCTTTTTCTTTTTTTTCTTCCTCTTTGGTGCCTCCTCCTTATTCACATTATTATTAATTTGAAAGTCTGTCTCTTCTCTCCTGGTGTCATCTGCTAAATCTGCTAGCTCCACGCTACCACCTTCCACTTCACATTGTTCTAAGTCTTTCTTCTTTTTCTTTTTCTTCTTCAGAGGTTTTTCAACAGCTTCTTCAGTGCCAGCTTCTGTTACTTCTTCAGAAACTGCAGAGCACTTGGACTGTAAACTATAAATTAACAGTTTAAAAAGTTTAGAGCAGTAAGCAAAAGTGCAAGAACAAGGTGAAATCAAGACTATCTCAACATGCTGATTTTTTTATAAATTGTAACAGCAGTACCAGATATATAACCATGACATAAAATTCAAATATTCTCTCCTGTTAACCTTCAACCCCCTAAGCTGTCTGGAAAGTGGTAATTTTTTTTTGTTTCCAAAGTACTTTTCGCAGACAATGTTTTCACACGTAAAAATGACATTAAAAATTGTCAAAACATGGCTGATGAATTTTGGCTTGACTCAAAGAAATATGGTCACAGAATATTAAACTTCATGAGATCTAGGCTTACTAGTCAAACTACTGATAGTGATAGAAAATATACTTCTGGAAATCTATTAAAGTAATGGAGATTTCTACTTACGGCCTTAACACTTGTTTCAAGTAATAGTTCACTGCTGTTCTATACCTATGCTGAAGTACAGTGCTATGTCACAATCGTAAATTATTTTGTATTAGTAATAAAAACAAGGCACTAGTTACATTTTAAGTCACATTTCAAGTGCTCACAGTAATGTTAATATATTCACAAATACAGCACATATCTATCATCACAGTCACACAGAGGTCTGTAGGACAGCTATTCTAAACTTTAACACATACAATGTTGCATATAAAGGTAGAATCTAAAAACACCAACAGAATACAAAACAGTTTTTTTCCCCCCACTTCCCATTAAACATGGTTCCTATGGAAACTAGTTCAATATCAGAGTAATTCTTATAAGTCTTTCAATACAGAAAAAATTAAAATTCCTACAGATGGCAATAATCAAATTATTTTTTGCTTCAACGATGTAAAAATAAAAGGTTACTATTTGTAATACAATTATGCTATCAATAGTTTCAAGCCCAGAGGTCAACTTTAAAAAAATTAACCAATCAGAAAATATTCAGTAAAATTTAGTTATTAAAATCCAGTTAAGTGGACATAGATATTAAACACAGTTATTGAATACACTGTTATAGCATCGAAACAATGATTTGAAAGCACAAGTATTCTAATAAATAGAATTAAATTTTTAGAGAGGGATTTATGTTCTTAAATTCAGAATTAATAGAAACAATTAAGCATCAAAATAATGTGATTAGGGACTGACCTAGTGATATTTAATTTTCCCCGAATGCAGAATACTCCAGCAGCATCTGAATCCAAACGAAATACTTCAAATTCTAGTTGATCACCTACATTTATCTCCAGGGTTTGCCAATGTTCATCAGACATCTGCTCAGGTTTAGGAATGGAGGCATTGAAACACCCATGTACTAAACAGCCAATGTGGCTGGAAGATACTTTATTAACTGTACCCTGGGAAGAAGGAAAAAAAAAAGTATAACATGTAGAAGAGATCTAAAGAGTTAAAAGGTAAATCAAGCTTTACAAGCTTCAAACGGATCTTCAAAGAGGAAACATTAAGATAATGGCATCATTTAATATAGAAAAAGTTTATCTCGATTACAGCTTACCACGTGCTACCCTAAAACATTGTTTTAGAACACTACGGAATGTTTATAAAGCTCAAACTTTATTAAAGTAATCGCATATCAATTGCCCAACTGAATAAACAACAACCCTCCCCCCAAACAACCCACTACACACCTCACTGCTGGATTCCCTGGAGAGTAATTATAAGCAATGAAACCAAGCAGAAAATACTCTTTGATATGACCTACATTTGAAAAGACCTCAACAGAGGAAGCATATGCTTTTTATAACTAGGATCCCCATTATATTTCTATAAACAGTCTGAATTTCAAAGCTTAAAGAACATTCTTTAATGATTCAATTTAACAACATGTAAGCAGTCCTATTAAAAGTCAACTTATACTTTAGATATGAATCTTGAACATGGCTATTTTGACTAAATCACAAAAACATTATTAAAAGCTTTAAAACTCAATTAAAATACATATAATTTTAAACTTAAAAGATTTTTCATAAAACTTAGCTTTTCCTTCTTCCCCTAGGAATCAACATATGAAAGAAAACCTTGTATTTTTCAAAAAGTAGTTATTTTGACTTATACCACTATAAATAATATGTATACAGTGCTATTAAATGACAGGAACCTTTTTTCAACGTATGACAGGATAAAACTATGTCATTTTTTTAGAAGTCTGGTATCTCCAATGGTAGCTTCTGGAAGGTCTGGACAAACTGTGGTACATTTATACAATGGAATATTATTCAATGAGAAAAAGAAATCAGCTATTTAACTGCAAAAGAAATGAGCAAGCTTTAATGCAACTGCTCCATGAAATAACCAATCTGAAAAGGCTATTCTGTATGACTTCAGTGATAAGACGTTCTAGAAAAGGCAAAATTAGGGAAAGAGTAAGAGATCAGTAGCTGCTATGGTTTCAGGGATAGGGCGGGAAGAACAAATGGAACATGGGGAATTTTTAGGGCAGTGACTCAGTTATGCTAAGGGACACCATAAGTGTCATTACACATTTGTCAATGTCCCTAAAATGTACATCACAGAAAGTGAACTCTAATATAGACTTTAATAATAATGTATCAATATTGGCTCAGTAATTACAAAAAATACACAACATTAATGCAAGTGATATCAGTAATAGGAGAAACTACATCCATCAATTAAAAAAATATTCCACAGGTATGGAATAACTGAATGTGAAAAAGAAAATGAATCTCAAACCCTCCCTCACACTATATTAAAAAAAAACAAACAAACAAAAAAACAACTTTAAGCTGATAACAGGCCTAAGTGAAAAAACTAAAACTACAAAACTTCTAGCTAAATATCTGGTCAACCTAGCGACAGGCAAGTATGTTAGATAGGATCCGGATATAAGCATAAAAGTATAAAATGATAAACTGAACCTCATCAAATTTAAAAGCTTTTATTCTTCAAATGATACCATTAAAAATTAATAGAAAAGTCATAAAGTGGGAGAAAGTATTCTTAATCTATCCAAAAAGGGCAGATTTGCATCAAGACTCTAAAGAGAACTATTACACCCTAAAGACAAAATTACCAAAAAAAAAAAAAAAAAAAAAAAAAAAAAAAAAATGGGTAAAGTACTTGAATAGGCTTTTCCTATATAAACACATGAAAAAGAGTTTATTAGGGAAATGCAAATCAAAACCCTAATGAAACACACTATACGCTCATCAGTAAAATGAAGACTAACCACTGCAAATATTTGACAGGATGCAGAGCAACTAGATGTGTGAATGGGAAATTAGTCTGACGGCAGTAGTTTCTCATGAAGTTAAACACACATTTATCCTCAGATCAAGCAATTCTGCTTCTATTTACCTAGGAGAAACGAAAATGTATGTTCACAGTAGCTTTATTCATAATAGCTTCAGACTGAAAGCAACCCAAATATTTATCAGTGATGATGGATAAGACTGTGATATACTCAAAACTGAACATCATGAGTAATAAAAAGGAACAAACTACCAATACACACAACAGCATAGATGAAATTAAAAAGCAAGCTGAACAAAAAAAGAACCATATTCCCAAAGAGTAGTGTAGAATGAAAATTTTCATTAATATAGTATTATAGACAGGACAAGCAAAACTAATTTATAATAAAAGAAATTACAATAGTGGTTTTATCAGTGAAACAGGGAAATGATGAGAAAGGGCACAAGGGTAATTTCTTAAGGAGACATAATATATGATATACTTGTCAAACTTCCCTAACTGTACATTTCATTGCATGTAAATTTTATCTTACATTTTCTTGTACTATAAATGATCTTATATTATTAAAAAAATAAAAATTGAGAAAGAAAGCAGGTCAAATGTATCTGAGGTCTGAAAAAGTAAAAGAGGAGAGAGTAAAAAGAATAATTTTACTTCTCATTTCTGTATAATTTGAATGTTAATCCCATTTACATGTTTAGAACAATTTATAAAAGTACTTAAATTTGGGGCTTTTTAACTACAAACAACCTTAATAATATGGAGCTCCATTTGAGGACACCAGCTTGGCAGCAGGATAGTGCCTAATTAGGGATACTATTTCTACCAGACTAGTGACATTAAAAAAATTAGAAATGTTTTATAGATATTTTCATAGTAAAATAGGACCCAAAGTTTTATTAACAGTATCAAGGGTTAAATAACAGTTCTTATATACCCAGGTTAAGCAATCCCTACATATATATTTTAGTTAAAGAATAAGCACACACACAGGAACACATGCATGCGCAGAACAGCTGACAGAAGGGACAGACAAATGAAGAGGATAGAGGGATATATTTCAGTAGATTTCGCATCAATTTCTATATTTCTAGGTTCTCTTGACAACGGAAAGCTCTTCAACACAGGACCTTCTTTCCCATGGTACAGTATGGTGTCCTGATCCCCATCCTTTATTCATTTTCATGTCAGCCTAGTCCTATCACCACTTGAATTTGTAACTGTTTTACATACTGCTATATTTTTGTGCCCTTTATAAAGAAGCCTCTATAAAGAAATTATTTGTATTTCATTGAGAAATTAAAAATAATAAAAATTGAGGTTTTTTTTTCCTTCAGATCACGCTGCTGCTATGCAAAGAACAAGAATAAACTGGATGTGATAAATATTCTGTGCATGACTGTGAACTCTAACAGAATAGAGTTTAATATCTGACCAGGCTGAACTGATGGAAAATCATCTTATTCTTTAAAAATAATTCTTAGTTGGCCACAATAGCAATCCCAAGGTGTGGAGTGTCTTAAAATTTTTGAAATCACATCATTTTATAATGATACAAAGAAAACTAGAAAAAAAAATAATATACATACCATAAGCTTTTGCCCTGGTTCAGGACAAAAAATAACAAAATCTGCTTCAATGTTAAGATGAATGTGTCCTTGATCATCGTAAATGTCTCCCAGTTCACCCACTACTTTGATGTTATCATATGCAATGGGGACACCTAAAAGGCTGTAAAAAAGAAATGTCACCATTCATTTTTTTATTTATTTTTTATTTTTTTTAAGATTTATTCATTTTTATACAAGAGCTGGAGTAGAGGCACAGGAGGGTGAGAGGATTCACCTGAGACAGAGCCGGGAGCAGAACAGGCAGACAGACCAAAATACACTGCTGAGGGGAGCAGCAGGCCGTCTGCCATGCCATGTGGGTATCCCCATGGCTGGCCAGGAATCAAACCTGCGCTGCAGAGACTGCGGACAGCTTCAGAGCGCTGTGCTCAACCCGCTGAGCCACCGGGGAGGCCGCCATTCATCCTCTTTTAAAGACCATTCTCATACTGACTCCAAAAAGTATACATGTTATAAATAAAACTACCCATGCCAAAAATACAACAGCCTGTGACTAGTCTGTAACAACTTTAGTAGTACCATTTCACCAAGAGTTCTAATGCATTGGCTAAGTTAATAATGATTATTCAAGATCCGTAGGTACCTACAAGCAAAATGTTCAATTAAGCATGAGCAGTAAGTTGACTCTTATCATGCTTAGTAAATACGTCAGGTGAAGACAAATACCATGACTTCACTCATATGCATCACCACAGAGAAAAGAAACAAAAGGATGAACTAAATAAACTGTTAGACTATAAGATCAATTAGTGGTGACCAGGAGGGAAGAGGGATGGGCACAGGTAAACTGAGGAAAATGGGTCAATTGTACGGTGCAGTACAGAACTAGACTTTAGTGGTGTACTTAATGTGATACACACATATGATGCACACCTGAAGCTTATGTAATTTTATAATGCAATGTAACTTCAATTAAAAAAGACAAACTCATCTGCATCAACCCACTCTTGTAAATGACACATTCACAGTGATTGTAAGACATAGGTGCAGTCTTTCCAGGGGGTCATATTTGGGCATCATCACACTGCAATATATTTTATTATATTATATTATTATAGAATACAGATTTTTTTTTTCCAGTTGTATAGGTGGGTTATATTTAAATTTCATTTCTGCACAGCAAAGTGTGTTTTCAGGATAGCAAAAGTAGCACTGCAAAATAGTTGTTACAGAAATGAGGTATTGGGTCACACAGTATTCAGAATCTCTGACTAAGAAATGTGACAACAGAGCTTGACCCTAAGATGATTTATGTAAATACATCAAACTCTTTGGTTTGATGCATAAAACTTAACCAAAGTCAACAATTATACAGACACCTCAAGCCTATTTATATTCTCCTCTTTTTTTACGTTTGATTTTCTCACAGCATCCTAAGTAAGTTTCAATGCAGGGTGGTGGAATCACATAATATATATAAGGAACAATTAAGTCAAGTTTACCTTTTAAGCTTTCTCTTAAATGGAATGGAACCTATTTTCCACATTCAAATAACTGAAGAGTTGTCACATGCTATATAAATAATGTTTCTTTTTTTCTTAAATGCCTCTCAAGGATATAACTTAGAAACATAATGTGTTCTAGAAAATTTTCTCTAAACAAACTTTGTGAAGTTGAAATGGGATTATCTTTAAAAAAAATCTGTCATTGGGAAAGTCAGGTGAACAGTCTATCAACTAGAGGATGCTGTTGAAATGACAAACACTAATGAGTCATTCTCAATTTCTCCCTTTTCCTCATCCCTCAACAAAGAAATCCTCTTGATTCTATAGGATGGCCCCAAAGTCTTGAAACAGAAACAAAATTATAAATGCCAATGAGAATGCGATTCTCTGTTAATTTTTGTTTTGATCCTTGTCAGTAGTGCCTAGTTCAATGTGTGATGCCTGATTTATATAAATAAACTGGAGTCTTTAGCACATGCCACTGGTAATGGAGCGTGAGGTAGGAAATCCAGATCTGCTCCAAGTGCAGCACAGCCACAGTCTTAAACTAAGTTACAGAAATTATTACTCAATCAGTTGCTCATCACACTGGTGTAATGGCTCCTCATGGAGCCAACTGGGGTGACTTTCCCCTGGCCTGTCAAGTGGAAGCATTAATTGGCTACAGAAAGCAATAAAATACATTAATCAGTAGCCTGTTTCCATATCTTTTGACCACCTTGTACATCCTTAAATCTCTCAAATCTATCCCTTCTAATCATGTTTCTCTTGGACAATTATAACAATCTCTTAATTGGTCTCCCTGTCTAAAGTCTGAACCTCCTTAAACCTCCATTTCACATCTATTGTCCATCCGATTATACCACTCTCTCTGCCCAGAGTGCTAGGGTATCAAAGTACCCTCCTTCTGTCAAGTTGTTCTCAAAGGTCCTAAGATCCAACTCACCATTCCTTCTTTTACTATAACTTAGTAAAACTCAGATTTCTGCCAAATTTTAACACTACATTGGGTTTATACGGCTTAATTTGTAGTTCTACAAGTTTAAAGTTCCATGAAACCAGGATCTTATTATAGGTCTTTCTATTCCAAATCCCTAGTAAACAAAATAAACACAAGGGTGTGTTGGTACCTGGAGGAAGAGGTACTTTCTACACTTGGTTGATTCTTAACATATGTAGGGCTCTGGATCCCTTGAGAAAGTGGTAAAAGCTTTAGATAGTTCGCCTGCACAGGAAATTCACATAGGATCGGGCCTCCCCTGGTGGCGCAGCGGTTGAGCGCTGGGTTGCGAGGCTGCCCGCAATCTCTGCAGCGCCGGTTCGATCCCCGGCCACCAGCGAGGGGCCCATCAAAAAAAAAAAAAAAAAAAAAAGGAAAGATTCACATAGGATTCGACAATTTCCAGAGGTTTATGGAATTCCTGAAGGGCAGTAACAAACTTCTAGAAAAGCCATTCACCCTAGGTTTAGATCTACCTTGCCCCACCTCCCTCTACTCCCCAGCCTCTCCGCCCTTGTAATTCTGAGTTTTTAAATTACTTTTGAATATTTTTAATTTAAATGCATCGGAAGGTTTCAAGAGCAACAGGGGGCAATAATAGCTAGACTGAATAAACTGGCTGCTCTTAAAATTAAAAGCAAAACAAAATAATGGCAATAACATCTCTGCCATTCCTGATCACGTTCGAGAGACTTGAAAGCAGGAAAAGCACCAGCGTCAAAACAACAAAAACCACCCTTCGTGGTTTACTAAAATAATCTTGCATTAATGCTTCTCAATTTCTTATCTAAAGACAGTCTATTAAATGCTTCATTCCCACCTTCCATAGTCAAATAGAAAAACATACAGTACTGGGCCTACAAGGTACCCAGACCCCTGAGCTCTTCTTACCCCACCTGATTCTGGAAAGAACGCCTCAACTCCTGCCACTGTCACGATTCACGGCGCCTTTACGTTTTCTTTCCTACCTACGAAAGGGGCTCTGGAGCGGGTAGGTCCTGACTCTGCGGGTGGACTTAGCCCCCCCAAACGCCTCAGGGTTAAGCCTGGGGTGGTCGGTGAGACCTTTCGCGCTACGCCACAAGACTGCCCACCCGTTTCCCCCTCCCGTGCCCAAGAGAAGAGAAGGCAGGCTGCGCCTTAGCATGTCCGCACAGAGAAAGACAAGGCTGCGACTGGTACCTCTCGGAATAGCGCAGGAGCTCTGCGTCCAGCTGCTCCCGGATGCCGGTGCGCTTCCTGTTAAGGTACCGCGGCGACAGAGCGATGTGCCTCCGGTGCGGCCCGGACACAAGGCAGGAGTAGCGGCTGTTCACCAACGCACACGCGGCGGCGTAGGTCGGCAGCTCCAGGCAAGGCAGCTCGCCCGCTGGTGTCACGACGGGCCCCGCAGAGGCCGCCTTGGGCCGAGGAGCCTCCGAGCAACCCGCAGCCATGCGGCTCGTCGCTTTCCCACGGCGCGCACCACAGACGCAACCTTAACAGCCTGCCGTAGGACGCACGATTTCTACGTCATCCCTGAGCTTCACGCCCCTAGGCAATTGCTCTCCTTGCGCTGCATTACGCATATCCGACCGGCAGGGGGCAGATGTCTTTTTCGCTCTTGGAAGACGCCCGGAGAGCGGAGCCTGTGGCTACGCATCGAGCATGCGCGAAGGGCAACCCGCTTTTCTAAGGGCTGGCAAACCTGTTAACTCACTAGCCTCGTCATTACACTTAGTATGTGGATTTAATCGGGGTTCACACCTTCATCATATCTAGTAGCAACTTTGTCACGGACAAGAAAGCCGCCCCCCCACTACCCCTCAACCGGATTCCAACCTCCCCCAAAACACAGGCGGAGAAGCTTTGAGCCTAACAGCGGCTGTGCGCTGCTCCACCTGCTGGGAGACTGAGGGATGGACGGGGGGTCGCTCCCAAACTCAGGTAAGGCTCCTGAGACCCTCAGCTGGAGATTGGAATCGTACAGGACTCCACAGGCAAGGAGTCAGTGTTCATTGATTAGTGAAAGAGCAAGGAGAGACTGCTCCAGGGAGAGATACTTGTGGAGATGCTGGGTCTAGGGGTCTGTATAGGTTTAGGGCTTGGGTTGAGAACAAAGGATTTAAAATTTTATTGGCTGAAAAAGCAGGGAGAAATGACTTGGTTAAAGTCCACTTGTTGTGACTAGTTGTGGGGGCCCATCAGCTGCAGCTCGGTGGTCTCCATGGCTCGTGATCATGTCCAAGGTGAACATCTCAGGAGGGCTGTGTGCCCGCAGCTCCAGTGTCAACCAGTCTGGCTCAAGATCTGTGACTCTTCTGGGTTTGCAATTCCCCTTCTTTCTCAAGTAGCCAACTTGATAAGCTGTCGAACGATAGCTCAGAAATGGGAAAATGAAACAAAACGAGACCCAAGGAAATTTATGGCAGCAACCGTGAGCGCAAAGTCTTCAGGTGTTAACCCCAGCCCGTGGGACAGCAAAATCATTGCAAAATTTTTGCCCTTGAGTCCTGTCCAGTCCTTGTTCTGGGATCCCTCCTGTCTCAACTTGGTTTGGTAGAATTTTACAAATTGGAGAGTACAATAATAAAATTGTTTAAGGAGTTTGTGCAGGGAACCCAATCTTAAGAAGTTGTCAGATGGCCCTGATACAACACATCTGAAAAGGAACCCATCTTCTCTTTCCGATCAGCTTCTGTAACACCCAATTCAGGGCATTAGTCACCACCTGCAAGTAGCTCAGCCCAGCTGTTGGCCTGTGGACCCTCTTGTACCCTGCAAACACCAAATCAACCCCAGTGTCTGTGGAAACCAAAGCAATAACTATTCATGCATTTCTTAGTCCTCTTTGCCATAACTGAAGAACTTTCTACCTGTGGAAGCTTAGTTTAAGGACACAGCTTGATCTCCGAATACAAATCGGATCATGGTTTGCTGGCATGAGTTGTTGAATTTAAAGCCCATTTTCCTCAAAAAAATGCACACTCTTTAATATGGCTCATAAGTTAGGCGGCCATTTTATCATCTACACCCACTTTGCTTTATCTGTCAGTCCACCTGTAAGGTAAGGTAAAAAGTATCAGGCTTTTCTGACCTCCCGCCATTAGGATAGATGAGGGAACCCTGTGGTCCTGAATGCATGCCTGATGGCGGGCACCTGAAGTGGGTACACCTGGGCTGAAAGACTGGGTTTATAAGGGCGGCGTCACGGGGACACCAGCAGAAGCCGAGAGAAGAGAAGCGGTAGTAGCTGAGAAGCAGAGGAGCAGAAGCAGAACGTTGGAGAGCCCAGATAGAGTGAAGACTTGCTGGGGGCTAGGAGGCCTGCCAGCCTCCCGGCCCCCCAGCACCCCTGCCTGCCTTATGCTTGGTGAATCCCAATAAAAGCCTGCAAAGGCCACTGAGGGTTCCAGGACTCCTCCTTTACCCGGTCTGCTGGATCAGAAAATCTCCACTGTGTCATTCCTGCCCCTACACCACCCTTCCTCACTGATCCACTCCCTCTTTCTTTCTCCCCCACCTATTCCTTCATTCTCCCCTCACCCATCCTTCTTCTCTCTTCCCTCTTATGATATTCCTTCCACCTGAAAATAGTTTACTATTATTTCACCCAAAAAGGATTAAGTGGCTGCTCATCTATGTAAATTACCACCATCATACCCTTGTTTTTATGTTAATTTTGTGTTAATTGTCTGCATGTGTATTTCTTCACTAAACTCCAAGAATCAAGGCAGGGACCATGATATATGTTTTGTTCACCACTGCAACCTCCCTATAGTTAAAGAAGAAGAAGAAGAAGAAGAATCCCAATTCATCTTAAGCAGATGAATGAATGAATGAGTGCATGAGTGATAAACAGCTCACAGTTAAGTGAGAAGATAGGGTCAAAACATAAAACATATGACCTGAATTACTGCATAGGACCCAAAAGAAATGTACAGGCTAGTAGTGGTATAAATACCAACACACTCTAGCTTTCCTTAGTAACTGCAAAGAGCTTCTAACCACTGTAATTCCAATTTTCCACTTGTAAAATAGAGATAATTGTATTTGTCCTGCCTACTGAAGAGATGATAGGAAGTTTAAATAAGAAAAGAAAAAGCATTTTCTTTGGTGTATTTTAACCACCTTCAAATTCAGCATCAGATGATAAAGGGATTAATCTGCCCCCATAGTCCAATGATAAGTATTTTAAGTTCATTAATGATGAACGTAACAGCATTTACTTTGATTTAGTTACAAAGTCCTACAACAATCTTGTGCAAGACCCCTTTTTTTCAGTGTTCTCAAACCTCAGTTAAAATTTAAAAATCATCTGAGGACCTGTAAAAATTTCTGATGTCTATACAGCACCTCAGACCAATTAAATTAAAAAGCTTTTTCTTGGAGGGCCTCCCCTGGTGGCACAGCTGTTGATTGCTGGGCTGCGAAGCTGCCCACAACCTCTGCAGCGTGGGTTCGATCCCTGGCTGCTGGCGAGTGTCCTACATGGCGCGCAGACCTCTCCTGCGCCCGCTGCTCCCCTCAGCAGTGTATTTCGTCAGTCTGCCTGTTCTGTTCCCAGCTCTGGCTCTGGTGAATTCTCTCACCCTCCCGTGCTTCTGACTGTACCCAGTGCTTGTATAAATAAATAAATAAATCTTAATTTTTTTTTTCTTGGAGTCAAATTGCATTTAGATTTTCTGCTGGCAATTTGAATAAAAATAATTTGTTGAAAAAACCAAGCTAGACATCAAGATGACAAAGTCAAAACAAAACATTATCTGAAATCAAATAACTCAGTAGTGATTATCCACAAATTTTAAATATGCAATTGTTATGTCACTCTTTGAGTGAATATACCAATTTAGAGGGTTGTTTGAGTCTGAAAATCAGAAAAACAAACAAAAAAAAAACTTTTTAGTTTTTTAGATTCTGACTTGTTAGCCTACCCATACTGCATGATTTGGAAAAGTGAAAAGTTGATTCAGTCTACAAGCAATAGCTATGGAGTTACTTGACCAAATCAACCTGCTCCACCTACTATCCCAGGAAGAAGAAAACAAGTACAGTGAGATCCTGCCTACCTATCTCCCATCACACACACACACACACACACGCACACACACGCACGCACGCATGCATGCACGCAAGCATGCGCACACACACACACTTGATTTGATCAAGGGCCTATAATTGGATTGCACCATTTTCTTTTTCTCTAAAATTTGATCAAAGTGCCACAGAAAGTCAGGTAGTGATGGTCACTGTTTCATGAAAATCTTTGTCTGGTCAAAGTCTAGTACATGCTGAAAATAATTTCCGTTCTACAAGGAAAAGATGGAAGGCCAGAAGTGACTTTGACCCAATGTTCAATAACCCCAGAGAAAGAAAAATGTTCCTGCAACTCTATTTTTATTTTAACCATTGCCGTCTCCCCTTCCTGCATACACACATGCAGGTAGTATATTAATGTGCTTATATTCTCTATGATCAAATAATCCCTGGAGCAATGTAAATGTACAGTAATTGGCGGTTTGTTGAAATAAATTACAAAGTAATTTGTGCCGTATGCTCCAATTTTTGTAGGAAATATGCACACTCATATGCTTAGAAAAAAAATTGGATGTATAATTATCATATGTTAATATTATCAGTTGAGGCTGGCTTGTAGTATTTTTTAAATTTGTCTGAATTTTCATATAGTATTGTAGTGTATGAATGTGTATTGTTCTATATTAAAAAATCAAAAACTTGATCTATGAAAGTATCCCTTTTCTTGAAGAATTTGGTTGTAACAAAATATCTTCTATTTTTAAAGTGTTTAATATTCTGCAAGGTGAAGATCCCAGGTCCCAAAGCTATGTTGTTTGAATCTGAATCTTGGCTCTGCCATTACTAGATGTGTGATATTAAAAAGGATTTTTTTGTTTAAAAAAAAACTGAAATTATTAAAGTGATTTTCATGAAGAAAAGGCATTAGACAGAAAGTTTGAACTGTATGTAAAGGTTTACAGAAAAGAGATTCATATAAAGAGCATTCCAGGTAAAAATGCCATTGCCAGTTGGTTTTTCTGCATAACAAATGATCCCCAAATTTAGAGGCTTTAAATAACAACCATTAATTTAGCTCATTATGTAGCCTGATCCCCTCCATTTTGCAACAACAAAAAACCTCCCCTAGACTAAAAACTAGGAATAAGTGGAATTAAATTCCAACCTCCCTTTGTTCTCTGTTCCTTCCACTACCTTCTCATGATTAACCCTTAACTGACTCCACCTGCATTCCTGGGAACCCGGAAAATTGATTGTTATTACACCCCTATTAAAATTCTCTGCGTCCTGTGGAGTTGATAATGGCATCAGAAACAAACATCTGCTGATGACTGAGAAAACACCCTGCCAGGAAAGTCAGACACCTTGACTTATGTGATCTAGACTTCCCGGCACCTCAGAGGACCTGGCAATGTGAAACCCTGCACTTTCCTCACATTTCTTT